AGAAAGAAGAAAAAACTAACCACTAGACAACAATGAAATAATACAACATATAATCATACATAATCTTTATATCTGTATTTTTTTTTTAAAAAAAAAAAAAAATTTTTTTTTAAAACAATTTTTAATTTTACACCTAAAATTTGATGCAAATATGTGTGCATTAGATAACTACGTATATTACTATAGAATATTACTATAGAATATTACTATAGAATATTACTATAGAATATTACTATAGAATATTACTATAGAATAATACTATAGAATTATAGAATACGTATAATTAAAGAAAAGATCTTCAATGTAAAGCGCAATAACGATCGAAAGCAGAAAATGGTAATTTTGATAAGCGGAATAAGACATAAAATGCGATTTGAGGATTTCTAAGTAACTAATCGTGGCCGACCATGTCGATTTTGAGCCTCTCGCGCTCATTCTTCTTGAAAATGGATTTTGGTGAAATGTACTTCTTTTTTGATGTATACTATTTGAAAAGTGATTGGCAGATCCGATAAGCGAATTAGGTAATTTTATAAAAATCTTGTGAAACAATTACTATTCAACAAATATACATCAATGGGGTTATTACTTCTGGATCTTTGTCGGTCTTAGCGAGACAAGGTCGACACATCAAACTTCCACGATCTATGTTCAGAACTCCCTCTAACCGTTTAGGCATAGGAACTAAAGCTCGTCCTTCTACATCATATGTTACTTCTTTTCCTTGATTATTTTTACGTTTCTTGCTTGGTGGACTTGTGGCCGGTGGCTTTGTCGTTTTTTCCGTATACACTTCATGTTTTGGATGCGTACATCGTGAAAGTAATCGTGCTCTTGAATTACTCTCCTTTTTATTGACTTTTTTATGATTTGTTGTTGTAACCTTATTAATTTCTTTCGATGCTACTTTGGGTGATGTCTTGGGTGTAACTGAAGTCTTGACGTCCTTATTATCCTTATTATTGCTTTCGTTTTCCGTATTGTTCATGTTCATGATGTCGACTAGGATGCAAAAAGAATACCTTAAACTTGACTGCTTGTAAATATAAAATTGATCCAATATTTCAAAATAAAAAAATAAAAAAAAAGAAATAAAATAAATAATATTATTTATAAATGTCGTTTTTTTAGTTGTCAAAAAAATTTTTTAAAGACAAATGAATATATTGTCTTCACATGATAACCTTTTATTGATTCAACCAGAGCAGGCAACTAGAATTTATTTCTCATTTAGATTCATCAAATAAAACTAAAAAGAACAATACACACAGGGAAAATGCGATTACCTTTTTGGTACAATCAGTGGCTTTTGTGAAATGAATATAAAAAAAAAAAAATCGAAAAGAGAAGATGAATAATATTTGCAAAGCAGAATTTTTTTTTTGTGTATTTATAATTCCGTTATCATTATTTATTAATATATTAATATATTAATATATTACTTTGTTTTGAAAGGCAATTGTAAACATCACGTTTGTTTTATGTACATACGTACGTACGTACCTGCTGCCGCAGGAATTTCTGGTTTAATAATAGTGATATTTAATGACCGTGATAGAAAAAATTACTGTGACAGAGAAACGGTAACACAATAGATGAATTAATAAATTTTGTTACATCATACGTATGTACTATACGTAATAGGTACGTACGTACGTATGTACTTACGTACGTACGTACTTACGTACGACTATATCTATTAACACACGAAATTTAATATTTTCAAATTTATTGTTTTAAAATAATGAAACAAACATCTTAATTGGATTATAATGTAATTGCTATAATATGTATATGTAATTACTACTGTTATATTGGGGATACATGTATTTAGAATTATTAATATTTTTAATTAAAAATAAAAATGCTAGTTAATAAGTTCATTTTTTATTTCTTAAAAACTATAAACAGTTCTAGATAAAATTTTTAAAAAAATTACTATAAATTTACTTATAATCTATTTAGTTTAAAAATTAAAGTATTTATTAAAATGTTTTGATAATATTTGAAAATATATAATTACAATATATATACTATTGCTATATTTACTATATATAGTATAATTAAAAAGGTTGTATTTAAAAAAACAATTTTAAAAATAATATACAGTATATAAATATAATAATTATAAAATATTTAAAAAATCTAATTAGTTTCAATCAAATAGTTATTAAAAAATTAATTTTTTAAAATTATTAATTTAAACATTTAAAATATAAAATTATAGTAAAATTTTTTAAATAGTTCTTTTTATTTAATAAAATATACTACTTATAGTTAAACTTTCTTAAATATAATAATTTTTTTTTTTTTCAGCGATCCTGCTTTTATTATTTAAATCGAAAGTACCAGAACTTTATATTTACATTAAATATAAATTTTCTATACTATATTTCTGTACTAATAAAAACTCATTTGACTATAAAAGCCAAGGTGCAACCTGTCTAAGCAGCCAATTTACCTCATATTAGATCCTTAACTTTCTGAGGATTTAATCTCTCCAATCCTTGGTTGGAAGCTGCCGACCTTATCAGTGATCACCCAATTCTTTTCCAATATGTCGTAGCCAAGGTCAAATATTCTCAGTGACTACTCCGTTAGTAAGAATTGTATATTTTTTTTTATCAACCATCTTTTCTAAGTTATGTATTATATTTCTTTCATTTTCTTTCTTTTGCTGTAGCTTGTTAAGTTTTTCTATCTTTGTGGTCTTTTG